GTAATGCTGACCCTGTTGTTCTTCGAAATCAATTCTCATCTCTCTTTCCCTGCTACAGCAGGCCATTCTTCTTCTCATCAGCATCATCTTTTCTTCTCTTTTTGTGAATTCCTAAGCTCTATTGATTCTTTGTTGGACCCAAAAGAACGAACTTGCTATTCCTTCTTTATATCCAGACAAAAAAAAAAGAACTTGCTTTTTGGCTTCTTCTGCAGGTGAAATTAATTATAGCAACCACCACGTCCCTACAAAAAATAGCCATTAAAAATTCTCAGCCAGGGCCAAGGAAAGAAATTCAACTGCATATACTGATAACATAAAGAACATAGATAAGTAAAGTAAGAGAAGAAAACAGAAAGTTGAGAGGCTTGACATAATATTCCATAGAGTTCACACCAACATTATGAATTACATGCATCATGCATCACTCTTGTTGGTCACTTCACCCATAAACTAGGGAAGAAGACAGAACGTGCCCTTTTTTAAAAAATTTGCACTTGTTTCACATGCTTTCTTACTCAAATTTAACTCACTAGCTTTGACTGAAGTTTTCACTCTTATCCTCGAAAATCCTCCATTATCAGCACCATTGTGAATTTGGAGGTATTCTACTTTCTTCATGAATCACTGCATTTTCCAATTAAATTTAGCATTTAAAAAAATACAAACAAGTTCTCAATATGAAACCAACAAAAAGTTTCCGGAAATCTTGGCACAAAGTACAAGAAACACGGATATATTTTTCTTTGGGTTCACTAGCAAATTAAGAATAAACAAATAATTCGAAGATTAAAAAAGAGCATTAACTCAACTTTCTGGGGTTACTAAATTTTCTAAAGAAAGGATCAAAAGGAGTAATTATGTAAAGCTTTTTCGAAGTCTTTCTGCAGTCCATGAGAAGGGGCTGCTTTAATTTAAGTTAAAGAAGGTACTTATCACCTGAAATTACTATTAAAATATTCAACAAATTCAAAGCAATCAAGACAAATCGTAGGGCAAATCGAGTTGAAGAATATCGAACAGAAGAGAAGATCCACAAGAAAATCCAAGCAGAGTAAAAAAAAAACACACTACTTCATTTCAAACGTCAGATTCTAATTTAAATCCCATAAAAATCTTAACCACTAACATAGCTAATATCAGATTCAAGCTGAAGAGAAGCAAAATTAGCCACAAAAAATCGGGAAGACAAGCGTGTCGAAGGTAATGTAAAAGCGAACCTTAAATCCAGAAACCCGGTGAGAAAGATGCAGGAAAATGTGCAGAGCTGCTTCACCCTAAGAAGACGATGCCTAAGCAGAAGCAGCAATTACATTCCGCGCAATTACATGTATATACATATATACACTGACAATATGTATCGTATAAGTGCGATAATCTAGAGAATGAATGATCAATGGGAGAAGAAGCAGCAGAGAAGTGGGGGGTGTGGATTTGGAGGATGCGGGAGGGGAGAGAGCGCAGGGACTATTTATGATGGTGACAATAAATTTGAAAAACGAAAGGGAAAAAACATATGAGCCGTAGGATGAAGGGGGGGAGCTGGTAATGAAGATTTGGACGGTCAGGATTTGTGAAAAATGGGTTGATTTGACAAAAGATAGAATAAAGAGCCTAATTAGAAATATTTCAAAACCTATTAGCACAGAGATTAGCCATTACCCCCATGTAAGGCGCCGCTTCTAGTGTGAAAAAATAACACACTTTGGAATTCGTGAGAATTTACAATATCTTTTTAAATGTCAATATCATTATAATTTGAATTTTTTTGAAAGGGATTTAGCATATAATATAACATTGTCTTTCACGAGAGTAAACAAATTGTTGTTTATCTTATTTCTTTTTAGATGACAATTTTTTTGTACTTTATGGGGAGTTTAGTCAATACAATGTAGGGTTTTATTTTGCGGCAATGTTGTTGGGTCATAGGGATGTCCGAAAGCCCATCATCACGTCTCCATTTCCATAATACTCTCTCTATATATGCATATATATATATATAGTGACTAGTACTAAGTGACAAAAAAAGACGGGGAATGTTTATGGATTATTTGATTGGAATGGATTTGCATAAGAAAATAAAATTAATTTAATGTTTTTGGTAAAAATAGATCCCTTAGTGGAGAAGTGGGGTGCAAAAGGAGCAGATGGGCAGCATGTGACAGAGAACGCTAAATAGCAGAAGAGCACAAAGGGGAGGGAGGAGGGGTCTCACTCACCCTTATCTTTCAAAAAGATGCTCCATTTCAAAGCCTTTTTGAGATTTGCCATTTAAAAAAAAAAGAAATTACAAGTGTAAAAGCAACCAAAGCTTACATATGCATACAACGTTGAAATTGGTTCTGTTCTGACCCTTTTGATCATGTTCTTTACCAAACAGTATTATGTTCTTTACCAAACAGATATCCTAAACTTCAAATTAGATCTGACCCTTTCGGTTATATACATGAACTCTCTCTATAAAGAGCATTTTACACAGATGACCGACTTGGGTCGCAGTAATTTCACGGGTACACCACAAAAAACATAACACATTAAATTCTCTTCGAAAAAATCATATTACCCTTAATGATAATTTGTCCATTCAAAAAGAAATTGTACTTGCGACATCATAATTAATTATAAATACAGTTACAATTGATTCTAAATGAGGTGACAAAAAATACATCTTTCAAATTTAAAAAATAACTATGTTTTTTTTAGACCTTCACTTGTTATACGATCATAAATATTTCTTTTTTTAGTCGTATGCTAGTAATATAACAGTCGTAAAAAAAGTCGTAAAAATATAAAAGAAAGGATATTTCAGACTTTTTAAACAAAAAAGTGGTATAAAATCGAAAAAAAATTACTTTTTCAGGTGGTGTACCTTAGAAATTCCTGCGACTCAACTGAGTCATTTGAGTAAAATGCCTTAAAGGGCAGGCATTATTATCCTATCCTATTCCTACCAATAATTACTCAATGATCAATCCTTCAAAAGATATATTTTTCCTGGCATGCAACTGATTTTCTATTCACCCAATTGTCAAAATCAAACACTAACTCGTGTGTGCTCCGAAGGAGGGTGAATACTCCATAGTAAGAAGCTATCGGTAAAGCTCTTCCAGTAGGATGATTCATCTTCCCCCGTTGAAACCTCTGGTAGGTCGAATCTGTCCTCTTCGATGGGGTTGTTGACTGTAGAAACAGAAGAATGTAAGTCTCGGTTAAGGAGAAACCTCATGAAGTGAGCGAGCAACCACAGCATCTAGAACCCGATAGGGCAAAGCATATTTCTTCTCCAAAAGAAGCTTAATAAAGTAACTGCATCAAATTCCCCGAAACAGAATAGGCGCATGAAAAAATATGCGTGTTCATCCCCCATGTATATGCCTTGCTGTGCCACTATAACTCATCTCAGCTAGCTTCAGCAAGGCAACGCTGCAGTTCCATGTCGAGAAATTAGGGTTTTGCCATGTAAATAACAGAGGAAGGGCTACAACATAGGCAGCCAAATGAATTTCCATGTAAATGATATTTGGAGCCAGGTGGAGACTCACAATTTTTTATTGGTTAATCATAATAGATTTAAAATTACAAGGTTTTTTTTGTAAGTAAAATAGTTGATGATATCAGCTGCAGTCCCTACGTTTTTCCAAAACTTCCCAAGTGGCCGATAACCGATTAAATGACATAGAAACATGGATAAAAGTCGAAGTATAAGCTAAGAGCAATAACATAGAAACATCTGTTACCATAAAAGAATATAGAAACATATTACTTACCATTAGGAAACACAGAAACACATCAAGAATGTGTCTCTGAATATTCAAGTCTCATGCTTCAACATATGAGCATCCCGGATCTGGATGCCACAAACTGTATCAGCTGAATCTGTCTCGAGAAATTGACCGATCGATAGTTTACCAATCGAATGCACATCTCATCTCTGTAAGAACTAAGAAGCAGAAACTCATCACAAGGTTAGTCAGGGAGGTAATTGCCATCTGATCTCTGTCGAGTGGATAGAGATATGAAGGATTAAGTAATTCACTTTACATCAATTCAGGCAACAAAACCGCTGGTATTCCAAGTCCACAGGTCATTAGAGATGTAAACACCAGAAACAGAACACAAAACTTTAAAACATGAGAAAAAGAAGTTTCCTAATATGACCTTGTAGGGCATCAAGTAAGTTACGACCAACAAAAACTCGCGCCTTTTCGATACATTCCAGTCCTAAAAGGCCACATTTTTTAGAAAGTTCCAATCTTTGTTCTTCCAAGACTTCCAAACAGTCCTAAAAGGCCACATTTTTTAGAAAGTTCCAACCTTTATTCTTCCAAGACTTCCAAACATTTTCATTTTCTATGATTTAAATTAGCTTGTTATCGTGTTTGCTACGCTAACTACATGCATGCATGTGGGATTCACATAGTTTCCTTATATTGTCATAGACCCTAACCCTCACACAAAGCTGATCAAAAGTCCACTAAAGGACCACACCTAATAAACCAAGTGCAGTTCAACAAATTCCCCCCCACCTGTGATGCAAAAATCACGGGAACTGGATCCGAGTTTTGTACCTATCAGCTAAAGGATGATTATCCCGTCTTCTTTCTCGTGAAGGCATAAACTTTCGTATATACAAAACACAGGAGCCCCTTAGAGCCCACCACCAAAAAAAAGGACAGCTTTCAGTAGAATATTGAATCTCCAAAGCTATCACGACAAATGCATAGCATCTTATTGAATAGAGGCACTAAGGTCGCGTGGAACGTCTCAGACTGTAGACTCTATTTATTACGAAATGATGGGGTTGGTGTGTATCTTTAAAGGGTCTAAATAGGTGCATTCAATATTTGACCCGTTTCAAATGGAAAACCTAACCCAAAAAAACCCCCCCCCCCCCCCCAATCAAGATCCAATGATTCCCAGTCCATCCAGCTGAATTTAAACTCCTAATCGACCACTCAAAGAGATCGTTACTCAGATATTATTGCGCACTGAACCGAATGTAAACTAGATCACTTATCTTCCCAAATAAAGATGTATATATAATCCTAAACATTCATCTAGACCACAAAAGAAGGGAATCTATCTACAAACGATAACTAAACTTATACGAAAATGACAACTGAAAACTCAAACTTTAGAGCGAGAAGAAAGAAAGAAGTTGCCATAACATAGTGCTTCCAGACCTGGACATTTTAGGATGACTTCATTTTTGCCAGTCAATAAAAAGTAGGTCGCAAAAAGTCATTTTTTGGGAGTCCGAGTTTGTTCCTATCATTTTCTTGCAAATCCAGGCTTCTCTTTACGCATTCTCTCAAAACGGACGAACAACATTAAAAATGCAGCCAACTGGATCTATGAGACTACCAATCAAATAACAGGAACCAGATGCATTTCTCAGCCTTTAATTTTACTCACACTTACATCAACACAACTATCGACCTAAATATCAGATCCAGATCAGAAATCTCTGCACATAAACAATTGGCAATTACCGTTTACTTGTGCTCCTAGTGAATATTCAACTCCATGAAGCTAAAGAAAGCGCACGATAACCCGTCTAAGAATAGCAATGGAAATGAATAAACGTATCAACACAGTTACGCACGGCCAGTCACAACATCCATCTTCGAACCAAGATCTCAACACCATGAGAGAAACCAAGTTCGAACCTAACAGACTACAATATTCACATCGACATGTTCATCTCCGATCCAAGAAAAATGTACGATTCAACAATGTAAAACACGAAACAAGATTTCAAAACTTGCAAACCTGCAGATCTGAAAAATTCAAACGGAAGAACAAAGCACCGCCGCAGATCTGGAAATTTTCCGTCACCTCACGACGGCCTCCGATTCAATTGATGCAAAGCGGGATCTGACAAGCCGCCGGTCAATCGCCGTCGCACCGACGGAGAAACACATCGGATCGACGAATCAGTTCCCGACCTGCACCAAGCGAATCAGAGACTGCCAGTAACATCAATCCATTCGCTTTCTTCTTGGAGTGTCACGGGGAACCCTATTTACAAACGCCGTATGCGTTCGTGCGTACATTACAGAGCTAGCTTTGTCGTCACAGAGAAGATCTAAGCAAAGCAAAATAATAGAGCGATGAACAGTTGAGATTTTTCCACGTGTCGGTCCGTACACCGTGGATGGATTAGGCTTGACGATCATGAGCGCTGAAGCCCAGCCCAAACGACTACGTCTTCGGCTCCCGAGTTGGGGTGAATTACGAAATTGCCATGACTGACACGTGGCTCTATACTAGAAAAGATTTTGATTAAAGGTGTTAAATCAGTCCAAATAGACAAAAGAATGAATATAAGATTGGCAATAGAAGAGTTGGAGCTCCAAAATCAAACACATTAAAAGTCCAATGAAAAAATTGAATATACACAACAACATCCTTAGTTTATCCCATAATCATTATTGATGAAAATACATGAATTTCTCCAGATCAGTAGACCGCTTCCAGACCGGTTAGCAGCCTAAACCGAACCGTGCATGCGTGCATTATTATCACGCATACATACATTTGAGGTGGCACAAAAAAAAAATTCAAGAGATTCCCAATTAGGGTTTAGGACGAACCAGGATTTTCCGAGGAAAAAAAAAGATTTTATGATTTGGGAGTTACAAGGAAGCATAATGCAAATCTCTTTGTTTAATTATTTTGCAGCTGGTAAAGGTGAAACCTTTGATTTGTGGGTTCAAGAATATTTAAACAATGCTTTGTTATGAAACTAGTGGACGACAAAAGGAATTAATATGACTGGACCAATGGAATGGTTTTAGCAATTACATTAATTATGATACTGACTTAAATCATCATCATTAACGAGCTTGTATAACGTAAATCATTGAAACGAAGTTATGATACATATGCCATTTCAAATATCAGATGTTAGAGCATCGCTCGCCATATATAATGAATCAGCCAAGTTCTGATTTTTAAATGTGCTTGTGCGTGTATGTATATATATATATATTGTTGTTTGGTGTGTTTGGTCGGTCTACTGAAGAATTTATTGCAAAAACAAAAAAGGAATATGTTGCGAGCTTTATGCATTGATGTTAAGATTATAAGAACATACTAGTTGTGGCTAGGGTTTCCTTAAACAAAAAAGGATGAACTGATGGTGACTGGTGCGAGAATTGTTTGCTGGGTGTCTCACAGTGACAAGGCGTGCCTTTGAATCTCTCTCTCTCACTCTCTCTCTTTTTAAATATGCAATACAAAAAGCACATTCAAAGGCTGAGCCGAAAGTAGAATATGTCATCTCTCTGTTTATGTGCATGCATGCATGCATGCATATGTATACGGGTTATCATATATGTATACGCACACGTCTATCCTAAGCTTGCACTCTAGCCCATCACAGGATTCCTCGAAAGACGTGATCTCTGTTTATGAAATCTTTGAAGTATTCGACAGGTTTTAGTGGAGAAAGCATTCTTTGTTTTAAAAATTCAATGTATTTTCCCTCCCTTTACGTGTTTTTTTTTATTAATTAACATGAGTTCCTTGTTGTAGTAACCTTAGTGTTGTCTTATCGAGACTTGCCTTGTTCTACAACGAAGGACTAAAAAGGAATATGTTACAGAGCAACAGAACCTTCCGTTTTTGGAAAATATTCGTCAAGGGCCTGCTTCTTCCCTTCTTTCTCTTTTTATATTTTTACACTGCCATGTGAAGCAAGCCACTTGCTTTATCTAATGTCCATTTTCCATGATCATCGAATCATGGTTTTGAAGAGCTTTTTGGCAAGTGGGTCCTCTTTAGTCACCTTAAATTGCAGGTTTCTGATGGTAAAACCTTAAATTGCAGGTTTTTGTCCGAGATATCCAAGAAATAAATTTTGAGGCTTTCTTGGATATATATCAGTCGGTTTCTTGAATTTCATTTATATTGGTGGAGAGAGTTAGCTTCTGGCTTCAAAACAATGGTGAACTACACTGCAGGTTCTACAAAGGTTTTGTTTCTTCTTCTTCTGTTACAGCTACGTTTCGAGATGATAACACCGGCCAGAAAGCTCGGCCTGTTCAACCAACCGGCCGCCTCGCGATCATGGTCTCCGCCACAGGCCGAGATCGATTTCGTCTGGTTCAACATCAACAGGTGCAAGAACATCGAACAGGACGCTTTCCGCCCGACCCATCAAGGTCCTAGTCAAGGTATCGGTCACAAAGGCCCGCCTGGTGCGCCCTGACCGCCGTTTCTAAAAGACCGGACCCTCTCTTCTCGGTTCTGTATTTTCTGTTCTGTGATGTTGTCCGGTTGAAATAGCAGAGTGAGTGTGATTGAGATGTGTTTTTTTTACCAAGCAGAAACAAAGGTTTTGTGATGAAACGACAAAAGGGATATGAGTTCATTTACACGTCTGATAATTTTGTCCTTTTCGGTATACGGAAAATGCATGCAGAGCCAGTTCTTGTCGTTCTTTGTTTTGTTAACTCTTCTTTGACTTTTTCACTTTGGATTTTTTAGTTAAATTGCCCAATAAATACCCAATTCATACCAATTTAATATCTACTTGGTATAAATTGATGCTGTTGATTAACAAGGCTAATTTATTTATCTAGAAAATGGAATATTTATACGACAGTTCAATAAATTTTGATATTTTTTTATTAGCCAATTGATAAAAAATGAAACAAAATCCCTTTCCGATCCGAATTAGAATCCTCACTCGGAGAAAAACATTAGTATGAATTTTTTTCCGGTGCTTTCGGAGATGTATTCGCCAGTGGGAGATGTATTCCGTATTATAAATTTCTTTTTATATAATTTTCCATATATATATTCATATTGGGTTTTTTTTCGATTGAAATGGACCTCGGATCTATTAGCCCATGGGCCCAAATATAGATATAATATCAGCTAGTCATATTATATGACATGTCAAAGTATTTCCATGGAGCAAATCGCCGGCGGAGAACATATAGTTCCAGACCACCACTTTCACTCATCCGAGGCTTCTCCCAGATCGGCAATGGCGGCGAACAATGCAATAACGAGACGGTGAAAATGATAACTCATCGTATTGGGACTTGCTTCCTTAAGAAGGCCTCGAATTCCTTTCATCCGTTTTTCTTCGCTCTTGCTTCCGTATCATCTTTGTCGCCATCGTCACCTTCTTCGTCTCCGATCGCCGGAACCAGAGCCCAGATCGAACGAGTCACCAGAATCATCAATGATCATCCGTTTCCAGACGATCTGATTCAACCCATTCTTGCCAAGCACATCCCTTTGGCTTCTCTCTCACCGGGCTTCGTCTCCGACGTGCTCGGTCGTCTCTTCGCTGCACACTCCAATGGCCTCAAAGCTCTCGAGTTTTTCAAATACTCTCTTCAAAGCCCTAGGTTTGCTCCCAGCTCCGATTCCTTCGAGAAAACTCTTCACATTCTCGCACGGATGCGGTACTTCGACCACGCTTGGGCTTTAATGGCGGAAATGCGAGAGCATCACCCTCATTTGCTGACACTGAAGTCAATGAGCATCCTTCTCTGCAGAATTGCCAAGTTTGGATCATATGATGAAATCCTAGAGGCGTTCAAGAGGATGCAGAACGAGATATTCAGAAAGAAATTTGGTAGGGACGAGTACAACGTTCTTCTACGCGCGTTCTGCACGGAGCGAGAGATGAAAGAAGCGAGATCGGTTTTCCAAAAGATGCATTACAGATTCCACCCAGACATCAAGACGATGAACATTTTGCTCTCAGGCTTCAAGGAAGCTGGCGATATTACCGCCATGGAGCTGTTCTACCATGAAATGGTGAAAAGAGGATTCGAACCCAACTCGCTCACTTACGGCATCAGAATCGATGGATACTGCAAAAAACGAAATTTTGGCGAAGCCTTGAGGATCTTTGAAGAAATGGGTCGCCGAAATTGCGTCCCGGCATTGCAGATATTCACAACCTTGATCCATGGAGCTGGCGTTGCACGGAACAAGAACAAAGCCCGCCAACTGTTCGATGAAATTCCTCAGATAGGATTAACACCTGATACGGGAGCTTACAATGCTTTAATAAGCTCCCTCATCAAATGCAGAGATATCAACGGTGCAATCGAGGTAACGAACGAGATGGAAGAGAAAGGAATCGCGCTTGATGATGTGACATTCCGTACAATGATCCTGGGGATGATGAAATCAAAAGAGTATGGAATCACTGGCATCAGCGAGTTTTACCAGAGAATGAAGGAACAAGATTCGGTGCCCAAGACAAGAACAGTGGTGATACTGATGAAGCTGTTCTGTCAAAACGGTGAAGTCAATCAAGGCTTGGATCTATGGAGATATATGTCGGATAAAGGCTACTGTCCACACAGCCATGCGCTGGAACTCCTTGTGACCGCATTGTGTTCCCGAGGAAGAGTGGACGAAGCATTCGAGTGTTCATGGAAGACAGTGGAAAGAGGGAGATGCCTGAGCGAGCCGGTTTATCGGATGTTAGAGACTTACTTGTCGAGAAGCAGCCATTCGAAAAAGCTGGAGGATCTGAGGAGGAAGATGCTGAGATTGCAGCAACTTTTGCCGCCACCTGCAGGGATTGATTAATTCAGAGGTATAATTCACATCCTTAAAGCTCCGGTTTTTCAACGGCAGATCATCATTGCCGACATTGCCCGTCTACATCGTACATTCACTTGCCAAGATAAACATGTTCCTTCTGCTGTTTCTTTCGTTCACTTTGCACAATCCCCTCTCGATGTAGGTGACGGAAGCTATTGCTCTTCTGTTGCTGATTTTTGCGTGCTGAAACAAATGAATGGCCAACATGGTTCATGAGAAAGATGCCATGTAATAGCACCTGTGTTTACAGTGACGGATTCCAAAGAAAACTTCAAGCTCAGGCCTCATCATCAACATGAATTCTCCAGATATGCAGCAGAAAGGGCAAGCCATCCGTGGTTGGATTCGGACAGGATTTCGCCAAGTTTAACACCGTACCCATAATCCTTTTGTGCGCATCTGCAACATCTCATGACAGGAGCATGCGTGTAAACGTTTTGGAGCGACTGCTTTCTTGTTACAGTTTTTCTCCCATTCATTGTAAAACCTCTCTGTAACTTATTTGTTCTTTCATGTGTTAGTATTTAAAGACACTATCTTTTGTAACATGACAGAAGGCAAAACAAGCTCAATAAAACTTGTGTTCTAAAGAACAGGAAGAAGTTTCAGATACAAAGAAGAGAAACATACAGTACACTGTTTCACAAAGATAAACGGGTGACCCGAGTAGTCTTTCTGCTGGTTTCTACTCCATGAGTGACTCTGCGATTTCTCGGGTGTCCTGGTGAAGGTCTGGCAGGTCAGAACTGATGGAGAATTTGAGCCATCTCCTTTTCTCAACGTGCTTCAGACAAGGCTGCATCACTAGACCAATGACTAGCATAACAAAACTCACTGCAGCAACTTTGAGAGAGGAAAAGACCACCACAGCACAGATCAGTATGGTGGGAGGAATGCACATAAGGATCGAGCCGATGGTTCCTAAGGGAATCTTGTATGGCCGTGAAGCAGCCGGGTATTTCATCCTCAGCCGTACAAATGCTATAAACTCCAAGATCATCCCGACGCAGTAGAGTAAGTTTTCTGCAGCCACAATCTCTTGGAAGCTTAGCCAGGACAAGAGAATCACACCCGAGGCTGAAAACAGTATCCCGATCAAGGGTGTCCCATACCGTGACCTTTTGGCAAAGAACTCTGGGATCATACCACGCTCGGCCATCCCAAGAAGCTGAAACGAGTCACTGCTCATCTCGGCCAAAAACATCCCCATGTTTGATGTGGCTGCAGCCGCTTGAATCCACCACCGCAACCATGATCCCCCGAGAGTTTTACCAATGTCAGAGAAATACCCATCAGTCCATAGCTCACGGTCTAGAGGAATAGCTCCAGTTCCAGTCAAAAGGGGGAGGATGTAAGAAAGAACGACCAAAATCACAGCGTAAAACAAAGCCGTAGGAAGTGTTTTGTTCGGGTTCTGCACCTCACCAGCGAGGGTACTGATCGAATCCCAGTAGTTGAGGTTCCAGAAAAGCGTGTTTAAATACAAGTTCCAGTCCACATGATTCAAGTCCATCACTAGCCATCTCGAAGGCTCCAGCTTTGGAATTGAAATGAAACCCATCACCACGAAAGGAAAGACCGAGAGAATTCCCAGCAGAACAGCAGCCCAACCGACAATAGTCAAGCCCCTGTAGTTCATGTAAGTCAGCAACAGAGTCAAGACCAAGACAGCTACAACTCTCGGCAAACCGCCACCAAGAGCCGGGATCCCCGATTTCAGGTAATCCAGGAAGAGGACCGGATACAAGGCATTATCGATAACTCCACTCAGCCATTTCATCCAACCTTGCTGAAATCCCCAGTAAGGTCCCAATGCCGACGAGACCCAAATCACGTAACCTCCGTTCTCAGGGAACATTGTCCCCATCTCGGCAGTGATCAGTGCCTCGGGAACACTCCATATGAAAGGGAAGATCAAGAACCCTAAAAGTGCTAACAATGGCCCTGCTGCATTCACACTGTCTTCCACCCCGAACGGACCACCAGATACCTCGTAGAAGATGAGGAAAACGAGTGGCAAAACAGATACTTTCCGAGACCTGTCGGATTTCGGCGACGGAACGTCACCGACATGGACATACTCAGCACCACTATTACCTCCCATGTCGAGGAACTCCGGTGGGTTCAGAGCGGCGGCGGTCCTCCGCTTCTGCATCAGGTCATCCAGATTTTAAGAATTAAAACCCTCGATCCCGATAACATTTAAGGTTTCAAATCTGCACCAACCATAGATTCTCAAAAACAGCACGACCCTCGAAAACAATTCCAGGTTTTCATCGATTTTTTTGGCAAGAACTAGAACATGCAACCGGGAATGAAAAGGAAAGGAGAGTTTTGAAACCATATGAGGATATCTGGGCATTTTCAACATGCATTAAACAGCAACAAGAGATCAAAACACCGCTAAAGGATCGAATCTCTCGGAACCGAATTGTTCGAAACCATAACCCATCACGCAAATACAGGAAAAAACCCAACTTTTTGATGAAATCAGGAGAAGGAACACGAAACGGAGAAAAGCAAATACCGGATCGGGATTTCCGAGGATTTGAGAAGGAACACCAAGTTCTACACTTTCAACAGACCGGAAGAAACCCAAATCGTCGAGGATTGTTTTGGGATCTCCGTCGAAGAAATCCACAAGTTAGTGGAGATCAGGACAACTCGACTCTGACGGAAGGGAAACCCATTTTTTCTCAAAAGGAAAAAACTTTTTTTTTTGGGGGGTTAGGGTCCAAGGTGCAGCTGTGTAGCTTCAGAGATTTTTTGCCTGAATATATGTATATATACAAGAATGCGTGATGCGCCACATTCAAGTATTAAAATTTCCCGAACACTGAATAGACCATAGAAAATATTCAAAAATATACATTACACATGTTTCATGGGAAGAGATCCTGGATCTGCATGAAGCTTAATACACTGGCAGCTAAATAAATCTTCCTTAGATACTGCTTCGTGTCTCAATTCACGAAACCAAAAGCATTAACTAACAGATTCATTAAACCCTCTACATGTGTACTGCTTAGGCTTACATTTATTTCTTGTGAAAACAAAAGAGACAAGAAAAATTTTGAACTTGGTTTGTAATTTGGGAGTTCCCATGTGTGCTAAATGGACAAAAGTGGGTTCATTTTTATTGAAAAAAAAAACATATTTATTTTCAAAAAAATTATGTCCACCTCTTCTTTTGTTTTTTTTCGTATCTTGCTTAAATATGACAATGACTTGACCTAAAAATGTATTTAGGTGAAAGATGACAAACACAAAAAGAAAGTGCATCTATGCGCAGAGTAGTTGTAGCTTTACATTGTTGGATACGTACGTATGTAGCAAAACACAACACACCAAAAGACAATTTCTTTCCCCTCCAGAACAACTCCTTTGGACACTGTTCATGAAGATTTAGCACAAAATTAACAGAAGAACCATATAAGCTTCAAGAAAAATACTACTATTCAATTTTCATTTTGGAATTTGCTAAATTTGACTCAAATTCTTATGACCCTTTTGTTCAATCTTGACATTGTCATTCTAGTCAGGTCGCTGTTTTTTTTGCCCAAAAGGGTAATAAGGCTCTGCCTCGTACTACACATCAAGATCAAGTATACAACATGTCCAGATAGCTTCAGATCACAACCTCTATAACTGGGCCCCCGTCACAGACGATATGATTCGTCAAGAACCTGAAAATTCCACCCATTCAAAACATCCAAATAATGAAATAATGGGGTTAACACTTGTGGTATAGAATCAGTAGGTGAACGGCGAAGTAGAGGCCGGTTTCACCAGTGGATCTATCCCCGTGGTTGTCTGGCCACTGCTGACTTAACAGCTTTTCCTCTATGCACAATTAGCTCAAAGATCATGCCATTGCAACCGAAACATGGCCTTTGAAAACAAAGTGCAATTCACCATAAAAAAACAAACAATAAAAGAGACACGTACACATCGAAGGGGGGTTACCAAAACCACGAATCGGTTTCAGGGTATGAATGATTGCTCTAACGAAGAAAATTAATTTAAGATGTGATTAGTAGGCAAATTAGCGATGAAATGTCTAGATTCACCTGTGGAAGCATCTCGAACAGCGTCATCACGGCCATTTCTGGCTGAGGTGATAAAGCTGCTCTAAGTTTCTGCACTTAACTCAGGCCGCACTAAACGGATAATACGGAATCAGAGAGGCCAATGATCATAAGTGCAATTATCCAAAACTTCGAATTCGAAAAGCAAAGATTCAACACCGCAGACGAGCTCAGAAATATCAGGATAATAGATTTCGGAAGGAAAAAAAAAACAAACACGAACAAAAGCGTAAAAAACCCCGACGAAATCTTCAAACGGAAAAAATCAGCCGTGGAAGAAACGGATGAAGCAAAAAGTCGAAATTTCAGATCAAACAAATTGAAAAGAGAAAACATAAAAACGATTGGATCTCAAATCAAAATGTGTAGCTCCCATGTCGCCGAGAGGACAAGTACGCCATTGGCGCCGGAGCGCAACCAACATGAAGGTGGCTGCGAGTGAAGGGAATTAGGGTTCATCACAGAAATGGATACGTTTAAATAGGGAACAACATTGGGCCTTAAGTGGGCCGAATCTGAGTTCTATGGGTTTAAATTTAACCGGGTCAAGCCGGGTGGTTTGGTCATATAATCGGATCCTAGTCGGATCCAGAGTACTTTTTTTTTTAAGGTGAGGAGAGAAATTAAAAATCAAATGGAGCCCCGGAAAGCACTTTGCTGTCCGTCTCCGCAAGAATGGGAAATCTCTGAAAGATGTTATTCTTTTCTTCGTCTTCAAATTTTTTCAAGAGGTTCCCGCCGATTTTCTCCTCCTCCGCAGCGAAGCTGAATCGTCTCGATTCTCGCGGGTTTTCGTCTGAATCCGCTAAAGCCTTAATTGCCCATGTCGCTAGAGCATTCAGGGAACGCGACTTTAAGCTGTTGAACACCGACTGCGCTGCAAGTCTGCAACCTCACCAGGCGAATTTGGTTCTACTTTCGCTTCATTCAGATCCCAGCTCAGCTCTCGAGTTCTTCCGATGGGCAAAGACGTCCGGACGGATACCCTCTTTCTATGCCCTTGTTCGCATTTTGATCCGCCATGGAATGTTTGATGTTGCAGCAAAGGTGTTCGAAGAAATGATCACTGATTGCGGAAAGAATTTTCTCTCCGTGAGCGCGATGCAGGATGATGTAAAGGTTTTTTCTTCAAACCCAGGTGTCGTTCATGGGTTTTTGATGGAATGCTGTCGCAGATATGGTATGGTTGATAAGGCTACGGAGATATTTGTGTATAGCATTGAAATGGGTGTGTTCATACCAGAGAATTATGTATATGGAATGCTGAGTTCTTTGATTGATGCTACTCGTATCGACTTGATTGCTGATAATTTTGGTAACCTATGTAGAGTATTTGTCCACCGGGGTCTCAGTGTACATGGGTTTGTCTTGCACGCCCTATTCCGAAAGGGCGCGTTCGCAGATGCTTTAACTTTTCACCGCATGGTGATTGAGAGAGGATTTCATGTAGATATAGTGTCTTGCAATAAGATTTTAAAAGGTCTGACCATTGATCAAATGGAATTAGCTTCTAAGTTGTTGTGTTTGATGTTGGATTGTGGTCCGGCTCCGAATGTTGTGACTTTTGGAACATTGATTAATGGATTTTGCAAAAAAAGAGAATTGAATAGGGCATTCGAGCTTTTCAGAGTTATGGAAGAGAAGGGAATAGCACCAGACCTGATTATCTACAGTGTGCTGATTGATGGTTGTTTCAAAGCCGGGAGGTTAGACGAGGGGCATAGACTTTTCTCACAGGCATTAGGGAAAGGTATCAACTTGGATGTAGTTGTTTTCAGCTCAACCATTGATGCTTATGTGAAAATCGGCGATCTAGGAACTGTGGTTGACGTGTACAAGAGAATGTTACATCAAGGGATATCACCTAATGTGGTCACTTACAGCATTCTCATAAAAGGAGTGTGCCAAGATGGTGGAATTGCTGAGGCTAGTGGTATCTATGGTCAGATCTTGAAACGTGGTCTCGAGCCATCACTTTTAACTTATAGCAGTCTCATCGATGGCTTTTGCAAGTGCGGAAATTTGAGGGCTGGCTTTAGGTTGTACGGGGATATGACGAAGATGGGCCTCGTTCCTGATATTGTCATTTATGGCGTGTTGATAAATGGCCTTTGCAAACAAGGACTAATGAGCCACGCTACGAGATTCTCCATTAAGACTTCGTGTAAGCTTGTAGAACCCAATGCAGTGGTTTTTAACTCCTTAATAGATGGATGGTGTAGAATAAATTGTTTGGATTATGCCCTTAAGGTGTACCGATTAATGGGGATTTACGGTATAAAGCCAGATGTAGTAACAATTACCGCACTTATGAAGGGGAGTATTATGGAAGGGAAATTAGATGATGCTTTGTTTCTATTGTTCAGAATGTTGAAAATGGATTTTGCACCTGATGCTGTAACATTTTGTACCCTCATTGATGCCTGCTGCAAGAATATGAAGCCAATCATTGGGCTTCAGCTTTTCAAGCTTATGCAGAGGAATGGAATTGCCCCAGATATTGCGGTATGTAATGTCGTCATCAATATGCTTTTCAAGGCTCATCGTTTGGAAGACGCTTCTAACTTCTTTGAAAATCTTCTCAAATGGAGGCTGGAGCCTGACATTGTGACATATAACACGATGATATGTGGCTTATGCGCTTTAAACAGGTTAGATGAGGCGATCAAGGTTTTCGAGAGGCTAAAATGTACCCCTTTTGGACCCAATACCATTACTATGACTATTTTGATTCATGCTCTCTGCCAAGAAGGTGAGATGGATCTTGCTATGAGGATGTTCTCTGAAATGGAGGAGAAGGGTCCTAAACCCAACACTGTCACATATGGTTGTCTAATAGATGGGTATTCTAAATCCATGCATGTGGAAAATTCCTTCAAGCTTTTTGAAGATATGCTCGAGAAAGGTGTTTCTCTGAGCATAATAAGTTACAGCATCATTATCAACAGTCTCTGCAGACACGGACGGGTGGATGAGGCATCATGTATATTCTATCAAGCTGTAGATGGGAAGTTAATGCCTGATGCAGTCGCATACACAATTCTTATCCATGCTTATTGCAAGGTTGGGAGGCTTGCTGAAGCTAAGCAATTGTATGAGCACATGTTAAGAAGCAGGGTCAAACCAGATGAGTTATTGCAGAGAATCCTTGCGGAATATCGCCTTTTAGATGGTCAGGCAAAGGAGTTTCATCGTTAAGGAAAACGGTACGAGACATAAAATTTGCCTGACTAATCAATCATTTTGTTGGCACTTGGCAGTGAATGGTGCGTTTTCACTGTTTTGCTCTTCCCTTGTTGTCATCATTTAGCTCTTTCAGAACAGAACGTGTGACTTACATTATTCTCGATATGCTTTATGCAGCTTGCTTGGATCGAAACACCAGAAAAGACCATGAATGGGAATGACTAAGGGAGTTACTTACTACAAGATAGCCATTGGCTTGCGCATTCCGTTCATGAATTGGTGATCTGAAGCAATCAAGATTTTGGGGGGGGGTGATACTGGTGGAGAACAGAGACTTAAGATGGCATCATCTTAAAATCCAAGGTAACAAAACGCTGAGTGAAAAAAATAAATAGATGGAACTAGATTCATCAATTATCACCCATATAAAACATGCTAACATTTTGATCTGCAGTCTATTCCTTGTGATGATCTAAGAAGGTATCATCAGAACAAAGTTGTAACCGTTCTTTCGGTTTTTTCGGCAGAATTTAGTGGTTTTCAGGTTATTGTGTTGAAACTTGGGTTTTTGCTTGAAGGATAGTAACAAAAGGTTGAGTTCTTTTACTATTTTTGCTGAATGCTTCTGTCAAGTTGGTAAAAAATCATCATCACATTGTTCATATCAGAGTCTTTTCTTCTCAAGATTCTCGGAAACATGACTCGGTTTTCGCTTTCTTGGTTCTTGCAGGAGCTGCAATTTGTGAAGTTAGCAATGCTGCGTCTGTGTAAAAAAAAAAACGTTGAGAAGTCTGTCCATTTCGATGTTCAGACCAAAGAACTAACAAGACGAGTTCCAAGATCCAAGGAACTCCTCAAACACGTGGTGTTGTTTCCTCGGATGCTAAATCTCCTCAAGACTCGTCTCATTGTTTTCAGAAGAAACAACGTACGATGTGGTCCGTGTGAATATTAAAATATATAAATATGGAAATCATTTTTTTTTGTACAGTATATAACAATTATAAATAGAGATATATGTGTGTGCATGCATTGATATGTACACATGTGTGTATGCATGTATGATTATGGAGAATGTCATACCATGTGTATGGATGGAGGGCATAAGGTTATTCCATTAAATCCCGGAAAGCAAAGGATAAAGGCATCGGGAGGATAACTTGTGTCGGTGCTTTTTAATAATTCATAATTACCCCCGTTTGGTTACAATTATTTTACCACCATATATTATGGATAAAAATATACTTCATCCGTTTCAAAATATTTGTAATTTTAAGTTATTTTCGATGTTTTAAATTCAAAATATTTGTCATTCTACATTTTCAAGACATTTTTTACAATAGTTTCCAATCTTATCTCTATTAAATTCTAATAAATTTATTAATGATAATATTATTTTTATTATTAAATAAAGGTATATGTGTTTTTTTCTATCTTTTCTGAAAAAAAAAACAATAACTATTTTGAAACGGATGGAGTATCTAATTCTGTGTAATTTGCACGTTTTCTTTCGTTGACCGACAATAGAATTCAGTGTACATTGACTAATCAATTTATGTAATTATGAATACGATGTTTTTATTTTTATTTTTTGTTTCAGTGTTTGCTCGCATAATGATTGTAAAGGAATAACTTTAATCTCTCAACACATCTTTTTTAATGGCTACAAGCTCACACCAATTTTTAAAGTGGGAATTTAATAAATACGCAAAAAAAATACATTTTTGAGAAATGGATTATTAATGGCAAACGGTTGATTTTCTGTTTTACATATCTATAAACATTGAAATTAAAGTATATAATGTAATAATTATTGATAAACCTCGACTAACTAAATTTAGCAAATTTGTTGAGATTGTGTGAACTCGAGATTTAGTTTTTGATTCATTTCATGTTTTATATAATTTTTCGGCGATGCAGTCTAAAAGAAGAAGGAACGGGGTGAAAGTGATTTTGACAATTTGTCCATATACATCAGAAAGGAAAAAATATATAATTATTCGGAAAATAAAAACACAAAAAATCAGAAAGTAGAGAAAATCTAGAGAGAGAGAATCCGCGTTTGTGAAAGTGTGTGTGAGAGAGAGAGATGAGCCGAAGCAAAGCGAATGACAACTGGTGAAGAAGAACAGGAAGACACTTGTATAAGCCATCTCTTTTGTGTGCTTCACTGATAGTCACAGAGAGAGAAAGGGGGAGAGAGACCTCGAGAGAGAGAGAGAGGTCAGGACTCTCACTCTTCTTTGCGTCTTCGAGTTTATCGGCTGATTTTTTCAATACCCATTTCCCGATTTTCCGATAAAGTTTTGACATTTTTTGTCTATCCCGAAGAAAAAACCGTGTAGTAAGTCAAATTCTCAGCTCTTTGTTCTTTGAACTAGTCCTGTTGTGATCTTGCTTGATGTTCTGTGTCAGATCTAATTTGCTTATTGTTCCATGGATAATGGATCGTTGTGATTTTTTCCAAGTATCTAGAAGTTCATAATGCTGAGAAGCTCTCGCCTCCTAGAACGAACTTCGCTGTGTGTTGTGTAATGAACGCCATTTCGACGAATTATCCGCAAAATAATCGCTGCAAAGATCTGGCCTTTCGATTTATTTTCCGGTTCTTTTCCCATAATTTTCAAGGTGGAGATTTTCTTACTGGGTTATCCAGGGCATTCAAGCTCTAGAAATTTTTTTGATCGTTATCGAGTAGAAAATTCGCTGTAAAGTTACGATCTTTGATAAACCCACAACCCATTTTTAGTGTTGTGAAGCTTACAGGGCAGAAGCTGAGACATTTCCCGTGACAGAACAAATGAGTAGTTGTGTTTGGTGTGTGTCACCTGTCTTTTTTGACTTAGTGGGGTTTTTTTCTTGGGGGGGTTAGCTTTGGATTTGGGTCCCAGAATCATGTCTGAATAACGTTAAAAGTGATGGGACATGGACTGTTCTTTTTACATATCTTCAAGTTGTTGCCGTCAGATCTCACTTTCCAATCTAATATCATTGACGCCTTTCTAATCCTTTTGCCCATTGGTTCTGATCAAGTTTCATTCTGTAAGGCTCTATATCCTGTAAAACAAGGGTTTCTGGCTTCTGTTCTTTGTTTGATCGGCTCTGATCTGATAGTAAAAACGGGTTAATTGAGATTTTCTTTGCTTCCTAATCTTGCCATGTTAGTTTGATGTGATTCTGCACTTGTTTTCACTGACTCTATAGGTGGTTGTGTTGTATGTATCTGTGTATAGTAGAATTATGAAGCATAAGGATGGGAAGCAAATTCCTCAACAGGAAAAGGGTTCAAGGATCATCTCACTGACGATCCTGTTTGTTGTGTTGTGCGGCTTTTCGTTCTATCTCGGTATGATATTTTGTTCCGAGAAGGACAAGATCGAGGCCAAGGATGTCGCCAGGACCGCCCTAGCTTCCTCCCCAAAGGAACCTACAGTTTCGCCTCTCCAGATCAAATCTTTTTCATTCCCTGAATGTGGAACTGAATTCCAAGATTACACCCCATGCACTGATCCAAAGGTATAGACCATCCATTTTGTTGCCGTATATTATTGGGTGTAATGATTTTTCATCTTGGGATGTTCTGTACTATATCTATCTCACCAGATTGACACAAACCCTTCCCCGGATTCTGTGTATTGTTTCAAGATTCATAGTATATGGAATTCTTTGTAATGGCTGGTTGTGTATTGGTTCAGAGGTGGAAAAGATATGGTGTCCATAGGCTTAGTTTCTTGGAACGACATTGCCCACCGGTTTATGAGAAGAAAGAATGCCTGATTCCACCACCCGATGGGTATAAACCGCCGATTAGATGGCCGAAAAGCCGAGGCCAGTGTTGGTACAGGTAATACGATCTTTCATGTATCACGGGTTTTTTCTCGGATTCGTTTCTGATATAAAAGTGTCTCAAAATGTATGTGTATGGCTTTTAGGAATGTTCCGTACGATTGGATCAACAAGCAGAAATCTAACCAGAACTGGCTCAGGAAAGAGGGTGAAAAATTCACTTTCCCGGGTGGTGGAACGATGTTTCCCCGTGGAGTTAGTCATTACGTCGATTTGATGCAAGATCTTATCCCTGGATTGAAAGACGGGACAGTTAGGACAGCCATTGATACTGGCTGTGGAGTGAGTTTCACTTTTGCTTTCAAATTTTATTCGAACGGGGTCACACTGCTCGGGTTTCTCACACTTGTTATATGCTTTCCCATAATATCTTTTGCGCCGTTCGTTCTTCTCTATAGGTCGCAAGTTGGGGAGGCGATCTTTTGGACCGAGGGATACTCACCCTCTCTCTCGCTCCCAGAGATAACCATGAAGCTCAGGTTCAGTTTGCACTCGAACGTGGAATTCCCGCTGTTCTTGGGGTAATCTCTACTCAACGGCTTCCTTTCCCGTCAAGTGCATTCGACATGGCTCATTGCTCGAGGTGTCTTATTCCCTGGACAGAATTCGGTAAGCATCTGTTACGGGCTTTATCCGAGCTTTTACCTGTTAACAAGAGAATCTTAACCTCTTATAACCTCTTACCTGACGTTTTTCAAGATCATGAGACATTTTTCTATCCTGTTGCTACAAAAAATGTGTTTGCAGGTGGAATCTATTTGCTCGAGATTCATCGTATTCTCCGTCCGGGTGGCTTCTGGGTCCTGTCTGGTCCGCCTGTGAACTACAAGAACCGATGGAGGGGATGGAACACGACTATCGAAGAGCAGAGATCCGACTACGAGAAGCTTCAGTCCCTTCTAACCTCCATGTGCTTCAAGAAGTACGCCCAAAAAGGTGACATAGCCGTATGGCAGAAACTCTCGGACAAAACATGCTACAACAGAATTGCGAAAAACTCGGAAGCTTACCCGCCCAAATGTGACGACAGTATCGAGCCCGACTCGGCATGGTACACTCCCCTCCGTCCCTGCGTCATCCCTCCGAGCCCCAAAGTCGAGAAATCGAGTCTCAAGTCCATCCCGAAATGGCCCGAGAGGTTACACTATACGCCGGAGAGAATCTCGGACATTCACGGAGGTAGTGCCAGTGGACTGAAACACGACGATGGGAAGTGGAAAAACAGAGTTAAACACTACAAGAAACTTGTCCCAGCTCTTGGGACAGACAAGATCAGGAACGTGATGGATATGAACACTGTCTACGGAGGTTTTGCCGCTTCCCTCATGGAGGATCCCGTATGGGTCATGAACGTCGTCTCCTCCTACGGTGCCAATACGCTTCCCGTGGTGTACGACCGAGGCCTTATCGGAACTTACCACGACTGGTAACAAAAAAAAAATCTGTTTTTTTTCCCATAATGGTATATATGTGAATGTATCATCGACGATATAATATATTTACATGTTTTTTTTTGTGTGATTGGATGAAGGTGCGAAGCTTTCTCGACGTATCCAAGAACATACGATCTTCTCCACCTCGACGGCCTGTTTACCGCGGAGAGCCATAGGTACCTTTCCGACAAAAGTTTCTTTTTTTGGCATGAAAAAAAGGATAGTTTCAGTTATCAAAACTGAGATAAGTACAAGAATCTCGGATCTTTGATATACTAGCAATGGTTGCGAGGTTTAACCGTTAAGACGGTAAATGTGTTCTTCTTTTCTTGACACGTTTAGGCCATTCTTGGAAACATTTTGGGTCCGATATTCATGTTTTTTGTTCACCGTTGGTCAGAGGTGGGCATTTCGGCTTTTGGTTCGGGTTCAGTTCTGTTATTTTGTCTTTAGCAAAACTATAATCATTCGTTTTTTATATTGAATTTGGTTCGGTTTGAGTTGTATTAGGTCTCGGTTTTTATTCATAAAAATCATTTTTCAAAGAAATTTTTGACTGTTTCGATTATTTTTTTATTCGGTTCGGTTTCAATTTCTCCGGGTTTAGAGAAATCATAAACTGTATTATTCGGTTCAGTTATTTGGCTATTAACCAAATTGTCAACTCCTGTCATTGGTACAGGTGTGAAATGAAGTACGTGATGTTGGAGATGGACCGGATCTTGCGTCCCAAAGGGTACGTGATAATCCGAGAATCGAGTTATTTCATGGACGCCATTGCCACGATCTCGAAAGCGATGAGGTGGGATTGCCGGAAAGAGGAGACGGAGTACGCCGTCCAGAAGGAGAAGATTCTGGTTTGCCAGAAGAGGCTCTGGTTTTCGTCTAACCAAACCACACGATGACACTAGTATACCAAAGATAACCGGCCTTAACCGGAGATAACCAAAGATTTGAAATTCATGGCATTACTCATGAGTCATCCGTGATGATTGGAGGCGAAAAGGGTCTGGTCCTTGGAACCCAAGAAAGTTTGAAAGTGCTTTTTTTTCCTTATTTTTTTAATTCGTCGAGTAAAAATATAAACTTGCCGGTTTTAACCTTAAAGTTATATTTATAAATATATAATTCTTATAGAAATTTAAGCTTTTAAGCTAGATGAGTTTACTGTCCAATTCTCAAAGGAAGATGATGCTTTGAGCGGTACTGGTCTTCAAGCCGAGTTTGGTAACGTCGATTACGTGCTTGGAACGGACAGCGCAGAAGGAAGCGTTCATCTTTTTGTTCACCATAGGAGGACTCACTGGAATAGTCCCGGCAAATTCAGGGCTAGACATTGAACACCATAAAGATTGATACTTTGAGCTTTGCATCCATTGTTGTTGCAGTAAACTTGTTTCAGAAGAGATGATGATGATGATGATGATGATGATTGTCTCTTACTGGTTCAGACGGATTTATACATTGGTGATTTTCTGGTGACCAGTACGAATGAAAATACAAAGCAATCATTTTTATTAAAAACGGAGAATAAAAAAGAATGATGTAAACCAATCGCGGCTCTGCACAGGTTGAGAACGGCCTCCTCTGAGCCGTCCGTACAGTGAATCTACAAGAACAAACTGATTCCGTGCTAAATATAGGAAGATTCGGAAAAAAAAAAAGAAGAATTTGCATTTCCATTAAAAAAAAAATACTTTGTTGCTTGCACAATACATTGGCTAATGTTTGATGATAAAAACACAGGGCTTTATAGAATATATGTATAGCCCGACAATCTTATTCATAGAAATAAGTGGTCGCTTTGAGAAGATTTTACCCGTTACTGAGCGGTGTGATCCGAAACCGGTTACTCTTGCTTTGTTCGGTTATTCTTCTCCTCGATTCCTGACTGAGAAAATCGTTTCCTGAGAACTTCAAGAACGTCTTCGAACTTCACATCCCTTTTGGACAGAAGCACCATCGAGTGGTATAACACATCGGCCATCTCCGAGGCTGTTCGAGAATTCTCTTCCTTCTCCTCAAGCGTTCTACACAGCTCATCGGCCTCTTCCCTGAAACAGAATCCAATCACACAGCTCATCAGTCACAATCTTTTTTTTTTTGTTGCGGTGAGAGTATCGATGATAACCTTATCTTTGAGCATAGCAAACTGTCATCTGTCAATAGGCGTCTTGTCCACGAGGGCTTGCCTTCTTGAGGGACAGTCAGCTCTTCTTTCCGCTTAGAAATGGTGGATTCAAGTGAGTATAATGTTGTAGATGCCAGTTTGCTCCCTGCAGCCTGTCACACAAAGCAAGAAGTTAGTTCTTCTTATCGAAATCATCTGTCATAGGAAAGGCAAAGCAGACAGGAAGAAAACCTCTTCATCATTCAATTGATCAAAAACCGATGTGTAATAGCAAGTCTCTGACCCTGTATGACAGGTCGGCCCATCAGGTGTCCCGAGGTAAATTATCTGAGAAATCACTAACACATAAATCTCTGAAACATAGTATCAATGGGTCAAAAAAGGGATACCAAAATAAACGGGACAAGGGCACGCACCGAATCATTATCACAGTCAAGATAGATATCATGGACATTGATGTAGTTTTTGGATGTCTCTCCCTTCGTCCACAAAGTTGACCTTGATCGACTGTAGAATGTTGCCTTACGGGAAGTAATTGTAGTAGAGAGGGCCTCCCTGTTGATGAAGCCTTGCATTAAAACAGCTCCCGTATCAACATTTTGAGCGATTGCCACGGCTAAGCCTTTGTCATCCCATTTGATGCGGTCTAACAATTTATCTACCTATACATGAGAAAACAATAAAAACGGTATGATATATAGTTTAGAAATGCTTTACTAGCAACATATAATGCTTCATTAGACCAGACCAACTGCTTGTTCTCAACAACAAAAGCATCATGGGACTGAATCTGGAAGCCCAAGACAAAAGTTTCAATGAAGATGGCTTCAAATGTGGAGAACAGATGTAGCTCATGTCATCACGAAATGCAGACGACCGGGCAACGATGAACACCTTGGAGAGAAATCCAGACCAAAAGATGGAAACCATCAAAAGGCTTTCCTTCTCTCTATTTCTTTACCAGACATGTAACAGTTCAAACTCACGTGACAAAGAGTAGGCACCTGACATATGTCTGGCCAGATTCTGAGCTCACACATAAGATAAAATCCAATCCCAATACGAATAAACAGTAGTAATTATAAATCTTCAGCTTGAAATCTCCAAATTGCAAAGATACACATATGTCGATTTCAATCATATTCGTATAGCATTGTTTAAAAAAAAAAACTTCAGCTTTTTGACCTGAGAAAAATCACTAACGCGCCCATAATTCAAGGGGAAAAAAGAGGGCTCTGCTCCAACAGAAATGTGGAGAACTGAAGTAGCTCGGTACTCGACAAGCAACTATGGAAACCTTCGACAGAATTCGAAACAAGAAATGGCAGCCATCTCAAGGTTTTGCCTTTCTCTTTCTTCTCCTACCCTGGCGTGAAACAGCTCCTACCCACAAATTCCATGGTAGGCGCCTAAATCAACCTGGGTAAGCTCTTACACTACATCGACACTGCCAAAAACCGAAATTTGAACAATACCGAAAAAAGAAATGCTGCATTAACCCAAATCCCACCTATATGAAGAGATGAGAGATTGTGTAGCAGTTCACCATGGAATAAAAAAAGCAAGTTCACTTCGCTACCTTCACATTAAGAGTATTACACTTCTCGTTCGATGCGAAAACGATATTGGATCTTCTCCTCCGCTTACTGTCTCTGATGCAATAAGAGAGGGGAAAGTAGCAGCTACCTCTCGCTGGTAAGGATTGAGATAATACAGGGTAATAGACCGCCATTAAAGCAGCGTTACATACAGAACAGGCAAAGCAAGAGAGAGAGGTGATCGTCCGGAAACGGACGAAAATGGCGGCGAGAGAGACAGGGAAAGAACCCTAATTTCCTCGTTCGCTATCGTGACAACGACGTGCCTTATAAAGACAATTTTTCAAGAAGCAAAAAGACCAAAATATCCCAAAACTTCAAAAAGACTAAAATATCCCTATTATAATGCTTTATTTACCAAGCCGCCTTCGTACAGCTCCATTAGGTCTTTCGCCTTCAGTGATCTTTAATCGGAAACTGAAAATCATCTCAAAGCTTCACGTGACTTCGCCGGTTCCTCTCCCCCGTGAAAATTTCCGATGAGGTGGGTAGTTCTAATCTTTTCTGAATCTTCATATATCTGTCTTGTTTCGGAGACTGTTCCTGTCTAGATTTCATTCCTGGGCTCCTTGATTCGTGGGTATGGGGAATTAATACGATACAGAATCAATAATTCGGCTGTTCCCGCTCTTTCGTAGCTTGATAACGAAGAACTAGGAGTCATTTGATGTTTATACGAGTGCGGAAATTGGGTACCGATTCTGGTTTAGGCAACTCGCCTTGTCTTGATTTCCTTCATCATGTTTGAAACCCCGACCTAAATGCATGATTCGACTTCGACCCAGTGCTAATTTGAAATATCTAATGTTGAAGAAGAACGTTTCTTGATCGAAAGCTATATCATGATTGATTTTCTCAAGTTATGTTGGCTGATGTTCCTAAAATTGTTCGAGGCATAAGCTGCAGTTGTCCACATTCACAATCTAATCCGTTAATTTGGCGAAGTGTGACTTAGTTCCGTAATTATATAATTTATATTACGAAAACCGTTTCTGAAGTTTGGGTTTTCTGAATGAAATCGCATAATCGTCCACCTAATGTTAGTAATTTCCATCGTAGGAGGAGACGGCATGATTCTCCATCACCTGAACGAAGCAGAAAGCCGTTGGATCCCCCTGGTTTGAAAGATCATTTATCTCGGACTAGTAGAAGAAGAGCTATGTCTGATTATCCTGACTTAGATCTTTCACCGCCGAGAAAAACCAATGAGTATGCACGGCGTTCTTCTGGAAATTTGTCCAGAAGTTCAGATTTGGATATTTCACCTCCAAGGAAATCTCGAAGAAAATCACCACAATCTCCGCCAGCTAAGGAGCAGATAAGAACTGGTTTAATTTCCGGCCGTGATATCCGTGCTGAGAATCTGAAAACCAAGAAGAATGAGTTTTTGAGGTAATATTTTAAAACCAAACTAAGTTTAATCCTCTTGACATACCCTTCTTTGCATGATAATTGTCGTAGTAGGATTGCCAAATGCCTCTGGTGTTAGCTTTTTCTGGTCAATAATCCATTGAGCAATTGTCACCGAAATTTGGCTATGTGGATTTCGTTTTGGCAATAAGTATTTACCGTGTTATGTATGCTTTAAGTTGCCTGTTTTTGACATGATATACAATCTCGGCAGGTTTAAAGAAATGGATCCTATGCTAACCAGTGAAAATGCACAAGGGGTCTTCCGTGACAAGATCACAGGTTGTTTTGAATTCCTACTTCCTAGTCCTAGAAGGATTTGGTTCTTATTTCTTCCTCTAGATGGTGGGACCTGTGTTGAGTTCTAGATACACAATTCATCAGCAACATTCAAAGTTTCCTGAGTTTTCTTTCAAGTTTTACCAAAGTTTATCCTGGAACAACTTCCATTGCACCACTAAATTCTTTAGACACCGATGAAATGCATTATCCCGTTTCATACTCAGTTGCTTATTGATATTGCAGGGAAACGTATATCAAAGGAGGAATATTTGAGATCAAAGAAAAGGGTTGAAGGAAAACCAAAGGTACTGATAGTTGAAAGAAACATTTTTCCGATCCTAATGTATTCTCGTTTTGTAATTTAGGTTGAAATCTTGCAATCTTCATTTGTCCATAGGTACTAAACATATATTTAGTATTTTAAATTGAAGTTTCGGATGAGTAGGAGCTCAGATGTTACGTTCAATCAAAGTCTTTTTTATTAGAACTAGTAGAGTGCCATCTAACTGATTTTCTTTTATTCCCTGCAGGAGATAAAAGTTGAATGGGGCAAAGGATTGGCGCAGAAGCGGGAAGCTGAAGCTAAACTACGAGAACTTGAGATTGAGAAGAACACGCCGTTTGCCCGGACCAGGGATGATCCCGAGCTGGACAACATGCTGAGGCATACGATTAGATGGGGCGATCCCATGGCTCATCTGGTGAAGGTATTGATTGAAATCTCTCTTCTTACAAACAGATAACTGTAGTGCCTCACAATGTAACTTCTAATGCACTCTGCATTTTATTTATCATCACAGAAAAAGCAACCCATGCCCGCTTTTCCAGATCTGGGGGCCGACGAGAGAATGAAAGAGTCGGGTTTTGCAATACCTCAAGAGATTCCTAACAACAGCTGGATTAAGAGAGGATTAGAACCTGCACGATTCGCGGGTGGAATCAAATGTGGAAGACATTGGGATGGCGTTGATCGAAATAACCGGTAAATTACCCAGTACATGCGGTATATATAATGATCTACACATGCATCAAGATCAATGACCCGATTGATAAATCGGCATTTAATTTGATCCTTGTGTTTCATGGCCAGGATATAAGAAACACTGAAACAGGTGTTCAAGAGAGGATGAACGAGAAGAGAGCAACGGAAAGAGAAGTCTACCTATGGTCTGTTTCTGTCATGGGATCTCAACAGAGCTACCAGAACGAACCAAGGAATGGCTCTGGTTCGATATCATGGAGAACCGATCCGGTCCGGTTTAGGGGACGAGTGGAACATAGAGTAGTAAAAGTAGGATTCATGAATTAGCTTTAAGACCGTATATGCATTGTGTATATCTATTATATATATAACACAATCACATATTACGTGCGTTAATTTTTTTGGTGACTGTTTGATATTTACCACATGCTAATTTCATTTTCCTTCATAGGGTAACGTGATGAGGTTTTGAAATTTTGTACGGACGGGTTTGAATTAAAGGAGTGGGTTTTATTTGATTAAAACTGGCCCCGCTTGATTTCTCTTCCTTTTATTTATGTTATGTTTTATTTTATTTTATTTTAACGGGAGAAAAAGGAATCAAATTGAAAAAAAAAGGGGCATTACATAAAAACCTCGGAAATAGGGAAATGAGATTTGGCGTAATCTTCTTTGGAAGGGGCAACGATCTCACCTGATGACTGCTTTAATAAATCGTATTATCATTAATCAACCCCTAATTATTACCTCAATAATTAATCCATTAGTCTGTGGTTTCTAAAATCTTCGAACATATGGTTTTGTTTTGTCTCCCTGAAAAAACCTTAACCGATCAAATAATAACGAACCAAACATTTAAATTCTTTTTTGTAATTAAGTTATTTCTCTGTTTGTTAATCAAATGATTGCATGGAAAATGCTTCATATGCTGTTTCAGTTTTCAAATGCGTAATCCACAATAGATACCATCACCATGCATGCAAATCTCACGTGTAAAGTTAATGTTCAAATGTGGAAAATTAGCTACTGTTAAAAAAGGAGGAAAATTATTAAAACGGTATACATACATATATCATTGCAAATTCAAATAAATTATTTTCAAATTGATAGAGATATCCGAATTTGCTTGGTTATAAACTATGAAAAACAAATCCAAATTGAATAGTTCAATCGGTGAAATGGGATGTAAAGCGTTTGTTCTGCCCCGAATTTTAACTCAGATTTGGAGAAAAAACGTATAATTCAAATCATATGGTTCGTTTCTGACTTGTAACGGTAAGAGGTTTTATTATGTGTGTATATATATACGATCGATCTTTTGAAAAAAGAAAAAGCCCTAATTGCGTTTTTATTTTTTATTTTTTTAAAAAAAAGCATACAATCGATCTTGGAAGATCGGATGGAGCTTTGCCTGCTGTCCAGTCTCTCTGTTCGAAGCATTCTTTGCTTTAAGACAGGTTAGACTCGTCAGGAATAAAGCTAAATAAGTTTCCAAACACACTGTCTTCATTGTCGTCTTTGGCTTCACAAACATCTCTTACGTCGTATACGTATTTGATCTTTTTCATGCATGCATGCTCTCGTCTCGTCAAACTTCTTCTACACATGCACATTTCTAATGCTTTTGTCACATTAGACTACATACCCTGAGAGAATTTTTGTTTTTGTTCCAATATCCTTTTTCTAAAATAAATAAATAAATAAAGATAATATGTAAATAACGTATTTTCGTTGGATATATTCCTAAATTAAAAAAACAGTTTTTAGGTTTTTTGTTGTTTGAATAGGGTTTTGATTTTTGAACATCGAAATGAGTTAGAACTATGAATAACTCATATCAAACTAGGGATATCAAAACGAGTCGAGCTCGCGAGCCAACTCGAGGTTTGCTCTTTTTTTATCGAATTGAGCCAATAATATCTTAACCCAAATAAAAATGGGCTGAGTGAGCCAGCTCGCCACGAGCCGAGCCCAAACGAACTAGCGAGCTGGTTCGGGAGCTGGAGTAAAAAAAAATTCTTACGTTGAAACTTGAAAGTGTTGATATTGTTGGTATGATATTTTGATTTGGAGATAATTTTTTATATATGGATTCGGATGTGAAGATAGTTTTTTGTACATGGATTAGGATCTGATTGTACTGGATGGATTAAGATTTGAAAATGGTTTTTTGTACATAGATGGATTGTGATTTTATCTATTTGAAGATGATTTTTTGTAATTGTGAATATAAGTATGATTTGGATGTATTGGTATATTCTTATTATGTTGATGTATCATTTGGATATGATTTTATATAATTTGATACAATTTTTTTAGGTATTTAGAAAAAATATGAGTCAGTTCGAGAGTCGACTCGCGAGCTAAGCGACTTGGACTGAACCATGAATTTTTTTGGCCCAAATAAAAATGAGTTTAACGAATTTGGCTGAAAATGAGCTGGTTCGAAACGAATTGGTCCAAATTAGTCTGAGCTGATTTGTTTGATATTCAGTATATATGTTTAATAATAATAATAATAATAATAATAATATGAATAATTTACCAAAAAAATAATAATACGAATAAGGATGAGGAGGTATGAGATTTGATGCTGACACCGTGTATAGGCAGTTGACGTATCTATGTGAAAAGACGGTAGAGCGGGAAAGAGGTGACCGGTCATATCCGGTTTCAGCCGGTGACAGAATGTCTCTTTACTCTCTGTATTTGTTTTATGTAATTTCGTTATATACGCACACAAATACATACATACGTATATTATATATATATATATAGATATATGAAAAATTGAGAATCTATACATATGTAGGAACACAAGATTATAGGTATGGTATTGCTTAATGAGGAATTAACGTGTTGAACTATGTAGGAATTTAATCACGTGTCAAAAAGCAAATGTTGTTCTATTGCCTATCGATCTACGTTACTCAAGATTCGTGTAATGCAGTTTTATCTTTTTGTTTAGTACTCTTTCTCGAAATGCACGAGTTACTTATATGGTTTCTTTATCCATCAGTTCATTATTAAAAATTAATAAATAAATGGATTGCCAGCATGGCTAAATATGCATGTAAACTCAAGCTTCACTGTCATTTTTATCCGTTTTCATACATATTATTTCTCGCGAATTTCATAAATATGTGCCGCTTTTCAAAAATTTTGTAATAAAATTTATAAACGCAGATAGGAAGGTTAATAAATAAATAGCATACGATCCAATGCGGAGATGGAAACTAGGGCATAGTAAAGTCTTGTAATTTAACTATATCTAAATAAATATAACATTCATCCACCCAACAGATTATAGGCGAGTGGTCAAATTTGGGATAGGAGGTAATTCCACTTTGAGGTTGACTGTTCGATTCCTGACTGGTGGAGAGGGAGTTAATTTCTGGGTTTATATGATCCATATACAAAGGTTGCTCTCGGGTCGGAGATTTACCTAGTCAATGCGCCCGAAGACTAGCATCCAGGAGTCCTCCGTTATCAAAAAAAAATATAACATTCATCTTGATCCGTCACATACACAACAAATCTGGAAATTCTTGTCAAATGCCATATCAGTTTGTTAGAGATTTGTGAATAACGTATAGTAATTGCAATGACGAGCGTCTCATAAGTTTGGTATTCATATTATTGGATCGTCTTATATGATCTATTCGTGCCCAAAAAAAAGAATTCGGGTATAAAAAAAAAACTGAAAACACTATAATAACGACATAAACAAATTCGGACTTCATAATCAACCTGAAAAAACAACAATGGTTCCAAGAAAAAGAAAAGAAAAAAGAGTGATGTCTAATTGTCACATTAAAGTTAAAGGCATCTGGATTCACTGTTAGTCTAATTGTCTAATTGTCATATATTTTTGAAATATTAGTTACAATAGTTTTTTACTGCGGTTAATGTGGGATTATATCATGTCATAGAATTACGACTCTCTTTTTTTTTTCCTATGACAGACAAAATTGATCACGTGTATAAATATTAAATATCATATTTATATATCAAACTTAAAAATTTCATCTACCATCACGACATTTATCTCGTGATGGGTCGATATCAGCCATTTTAATTTTATATTCCAATAACCAATCAAAAGCTTTTATATGTCAATTTTGTTGGTATTTGAATTAACCAGTACAAAACTATATAACAATTTTAAGAACGATGCTAAATCGATAATTAAATTTAAATAAATCAACCAAAAGAAGCGGAGAAAGAGAATCCTGATGCGACCGTTCCCTTGGCCTTTGTTAAATAATACCCGACCCGTTTCAGCTGTCTCCAGCCAATCAGTGAGCGCCACGTATCTAATTCTCACTCTCCGTCGCCAGCAGACACATGGGCCCTCGCTTGCCGTCTCTTCTCGAGACCAAATTTCATCGCTGCACAAAGGTTACTCCGCCAACTCACGGCGTCGTTAACTAACGCCGTTAATTTCTCTTTCCTCCGCCTATATATAATATATATACCCTGGCGCTCGTTTTGTCTACCCCTCTTCCCTTCGTCGTCGTCGTAAAGAAAAAGTAAAAGAAAAATCGGAGCTCCGTTTCCGATTCCGGGTAGGGTGATTCGATTACCCGGAATCTCCGAAGACATATCTGCTACTTCTGGAAGCTAGTTTAACCTTCGAGCAAATACAGGGATTTTTGTCGGAGATTTAGCCGTAATTTGGCTCGGGAAGACGATCAGCTTCCATTTTTTTTTCCGAAACTCACTCGAAAATTTCCAGAACCAGATTCGATTTCGCTGGGAGAAGAATTTAGGGGCCAGGTACGAACGTGAAATTTTCTTTTGAGATTTTCTCGAGAAACAAACAGTGGTTTCAGTGCATTGAGTGGAATTTTCCTCTCTGATCGCTCAGTTTGATTCCTCTTTCAAACTTTTTCAGGAAACAAACAGAACGTTTTTTCTTGCTTTTTGGCTGTTGCATTCTCCCTTTTTTTCGATTGATTGATTTGATAGATTCGTATCGTTCGTATTCGTTTTTCAATGGCGAATATGTTACCGCTGGTTTCTCTCCCGTATTCTCGGCGTCCAAACAGATTTCCATCCACTTTCTCGGGAAAAAACACACACACACAGTCCCCCCAAATCCTCGTCCTGTAACTTCAACATCAGATGTCTTCGGCTTTCCAGGAAAAAAAAAACTGTTCATCATCACCGAAAAACCTTTTCTCATTTCCATTCAAAAGTTTCTTAATGTTGACTGTTGCCACTTTACTTGTGCTCTTTTTTCCCCTGGAGATATAAAATCATTCCGATTCCTGCAGGGAAATCTTCTTTCAACCACGTGACTGACGATTCCATTCTCTTGCAAAACATTAAAGTCTTCTTGCATGAATTCGTGTATTTCTTGGAATAGTGCTTCTTCTTCTGCTGAGAAGAAGAAGAAGAAGAAGAAGAAGATAAAAAAGATATTCTTTGAGGCTTTTGATGATGTGTGTGTATGTGTTGTGGAATGAATGGGGCTCTTTGCTGCGGGCAAAAGCATTTGACACACTCAGCCTGTCCTGTCTATTTAGACCACTTTACTCCCCACATAAAGAAAAAAACAATGCATTTGCCAAAAACTTATTCTACCGACTTTTCCATTAAAAGATTCTTGAATTAGAATGTAAATGCAATATATGTATATATATAAAACTGGTGAACAGTGTGATTTCTCTATTCAGGTGTTTGGCTCGATCTGTGAGAAACCTGGAGAATTTTCTATTGTATTTTTGCATGGGCCCCTCTGATCTTCAAGTTCTCCGTTTCTTTTTGTAATTAATATATTCAGACACTTTTGTGTATATCAAGATTACCCCCCACCTAATCATGAACCTCCATTGCTTACCTATGTGCCGTCTCTGTTTTTTATGATGTCTTGTATGAATTCATGGATAAGATCCTCATACAAATGTTTCTGCCTTTTTTTCAAAGGAAAAATACTCACAAGGGGGTTTCTTTATGGGGGTTTAAACTACTATCTGTGTCTTTTTTGAATTTTCTCGTGTCCTGTCCGGTGTGGGGTTTGGTGGTTGTTATCTGATACAAATATACAAACAACTTGTACATGCGTGTGTTTATGTGTGTTGCCGAAAGCGACAATTCTGTCCGCAAATTGCCATTATAGGCCGTGACGAGTGTTTACGACGCCTGTCACTATTAATTATTGTGGTAAATTTTTTTCTCATTTTCTTGCGAAAAAAAAAACTGCCCTTTTGAAGCTCTAGCGGGTGTTTGATCGTGTCTTGTAATGATTGGATTGTTCTCCGCATTTCTCATGAACAATGAATTCGTACCTTGATGATATCGATGTTTGGTTTATGTCACCCCTCCCTCTTCATGATTCCAGTTACCCTCTCTCTCTCTCTCCATATATATATATCTCTGTCGGTACAGAAGTTGTCTTCTGTTTTGGTCGCACTTTGAATATTTATCTATTTTATTGGTTATAGTTATAGGGTTGAAAAAAGGTGAAGAACACAGAGGAAAGCAAAGATGTTTACTTGCATAGCGTGTACGAAACAAATGGCAGACGGAGGTGAGGAGGTAGAAGGAGGAGCGCGTGAGAGCTCCACTCCCAACACTAAAGAAGCCGTCAAAAGCCTAACGACACAGGTCTCTCTCTCTCTCCCTCTCTCTAAAATCTTTGCTTTCCTTGTTGATCTTCTTGCTTTTTTTTTCCTCACTTTATTTTGCTGCTTTTTCTCTAATTGCCTTGGTCGCGAAACAAACAAAGAACAGAGCCCAGTTACCGTCTCATAAAAAAAACAGCAAAAATCTTTTATTTGTGATTTTGCTTTTTCATGCTCTGACCGCAACGGCCTTTAGAGTCGTCTGAAGTCTTTGTCTTTTTCTAACTAAAAGACTTCAAATTGGATTTGCTCGATTCCAAATACATTAAAGCTGAGTGATTTCGTTTTAAGCCTTTCCATTGAGCTCAACAGTATTGAGATCACGTGTTGTCTAGCGGCCGGAGTTTTTCTTTAAGACAGAATCTTAGGATGACACAGCGTCACTTCAAGACATCCGGGGGATGAACTCTCCCCTACCTAACTTTTATTTTCCTAGAATCTTTACCCATCTCTCTTACATTATAGAGTAAAAAAATACAGGTATAGATGTTATAATATTATTAAATTGCATCATTCCTTAATGAACATGATTTCTTTCTTTTTTTTTTGCTATAAATAATAAATGAGATTTCGAGTGGTATACTTACCTCGAATAAGGTTTAGTGGATTCTTACCTATGCAGGGGAGTGGGGGCGACTCTATAGTAAAAGAACATTACAAAAAAAAAATGTGATGGAAAAGAGGATAAGAGGGTGATATGATTGTGTTCGGTTAATGGGGAGGACAAGACGAAGTATTTTTATTTCTAAATTATGTTTGATCTCTTAGATTCAGTGTTGCTGTCTTATGATCAACGAATATATTAATACCACAATCCTCTTTCTCTCCTTGGGTTGAAAAGTATCTATCTCTTGATGCATTTATTTTGGGTGGTCGATGATAATGTCGTGTTGTTGAATAGATTTGCATCTACCCTCTCCTCCATGTTGTCTGGGTGATTCGCAGTTTTGGACAGAACAAGCAGCTTTGATAAACATACGTCTTGGATATGTCTAAATATATGATAAAACTGTTGATACTTACTGTATGTAATTATAAACGGGCGTTTGGATACTTGTTCCGTGCAGATCAAAGATATGGCCTTGAAATTCTCTGGTGCTTATAAACAATGCACAGGCTCCAGCAGCTTGAAGAAAGGGCAACCATCGTTCCCCGATTTCGACACTGCTTCCGACTTTCCCTCCTTGGGTTGAAAAGTATCTATCTCTTGATGCATTTATTTTGGGTGGTCGATGATAATGTCGTGTTGTTGAATAGATTTGCATCTACCCTCTCCTCCATGTTGTCTGGGTGATTCGCAGTTTTGGACAGAACAAGCAGCTTTGATAAACATACGTCTTGGATATGTCTAAATATATGATAAAACTGTTGATACTTACTGTATGTAATTATAAACGGGCGTTTGGATACTTGTTCCGTGCAGATCAAAGATATGGCCTTGAAATTCTCTGGTGCTTATAAACAATGCACAGGCTCCAGCAGCTTGAAGAAAGGGCAACCATCGTTCCCCGATTTCGACACTGCTTCCGAAGGTGTGCCCTACCCTTATCCGGGCGGAAGCTCGAGCTCCACTCCCGCGTGGGATTTCACGAGCTCCTCGTCCCGCCATCCAGCCGGACGGACCGAATCAAGATTCACTGCGATATACGGCGGTGGTCGGGAATCTATTTCTGCGCAGTCGTGCGATGTGGTGCTAGAGGATGAAGACGAGCCGAAAGAGTGGATGGCTCAAGTGGAGCCCGGTGTTCATATCACGTTCGTGTCGCTCCCCAGCGGAGGAAACGATCTGAAACGGATCCGCTTCAGGTACTTCCAATCCATTTCACGTTGATAAATTGTACATTTCTGTATGCAGTTAAACCCTTTTTTGTATAATCATCGAAACTTGATCGTTCAATCAAATTCAGACAGTTTAGTCGGTAACTTACTGCTGTTCCATGTCTATAGACTTTTCAGTTTAGTTAGTGATTTGATAAAACGAGATGGAACTAACATTACATGTGTGCGTGTCTTGTTATTGAAGTCGGGAGATTTTCGACAAGTGGCAGGCTCAACGGTGGTGGGGTGAGAATTACGATAGAATCGTAGAGCTCTACAATGTACAGAGATTTAACCGCCAAGCCTTTCAGACGCCCGCAAGATCCGAAGACCAGGTAAAAGCATCAGTCTTTAGGTAACATAACAAAACAAGAACATGAACTAAATCCAGTACATGTTCTTGTTTTTTTTTCTTCAGACTAGAATTTTATTGTTCCGTTCCGCTACTTTTTTCTTCATTAGACAAACTGAGACAAAGCATCTGTTTGTTTGCTTAATATGTTACTCGGTTCGTGGGGCTTTTGGGTATAAGAGTTGCAATGTTTCCGCTACTTTTTTCTTTCAGACAAGAAACTGAGACAAGAATCTGTTTTGGTTGCTTAAATCGTAGAGGGATTCGACTTACTCGAGGCTAGAGCCAGCGAGGGAGAGCAGAGACTGGACACCGAGGCAGAACTACGGACCTTCTGGAGCCAGTGTCCCACATCACTTCTATGGCGGCGGCTCTAGCACTTATGGACCAAGCAGCCACGCGGGGGGACCTTCCATGGATCCAGCACGAACCACCACTTCTTCCAGAGACGAGCCGCCATCCATCAGTAACGCCAGTGAAATGCACGCAGAGTGGGTCGAAGAGGACGAGCCCGGCGTTTACATCACCATCCGGCAGTTAGTCGATGGGACCAGGGAGCTACGGCGCGTCAGATTCAGGTAATTCAAACACGTGCATTTTATCTAAACTTAGAAAGAAAGAAAAAAAACCCATGTGGTCAAACCAAAGCATATGGTCAGAACATGTCAAACTACGTGTAAAAAAAAACGTTAAGTCGTGTCCTGCATTACAGGCTCTACAGCTAAAAGAGGTAAAAACCAGCCTCGGTCATGAATTCAAACATACGAACCAACCATTTTTTTGTTGCAGCCGAGAACGGTTCGGGGAAGTGAACGCGAAGACGTGGTGGGACCAAAACAGGGACAGGATACAATCACAGTACCTGTAGAATCCCTCAAACGTCCGTCTTAAAGCCGTCTTCTTCACATCTTCTTGGCATCACACTTAGGTATACACAAGAAATCATTTCTTCTTCTTCTTAGCTTAAAGGTGAAGATTTTCATCGGAAAACAAAGAGGTTCTATACAGATCTGTAGTAATCTTAGCTGTCGGCTTTGTGACAGCAAATTTTCCAGCGGTGAAATGGGGGAAAAAAAGTTCCATTGATTGGTTTATTTGTTTCTTTTGTTTGGTTTTATACTTCGAGTAGAAACCATGGATATTTATTACATTATTATCATTATTTTTTTTATGAATACATTATTATCATTATTATTCATTGCCATACCAATTCGTTCATATATATATACACAAAACCATGACTTTCTTATTGGACAGGTAATTTCATAAATAGTTCCAATGGTGTTTTGTCATTGACTTTTTTTTTTAGTCGGGCAATATATGATTTCGAGGAATATAATATATGGAAAAGAAATCGCGTGGGCTGTCGATGGCGGCTTCCGAAGGTGGGGACCGTCGGAGCAGGTCTCCCGGTAACACATATATAAACAAATGACAGCTATAGTCGAGATTATGGATTATTGCATGTGCGCATATACAATATACATTATATATAGCTAACAAAAAAAATATACATTATATACAGACACGTAATTCAGGAATCCAGCCTTTGCTCGATAAATTCATTTCTATCGAAACGCGTTAAAGACAATATTAGACCGAGGTGTTCAAGATTTGGTTTTGTCGGATTTTGGGCTTTGGGTGTTTTATTACATTTATGGGCCATTGGGGTAATAGTTGGGCCGAAAGCACATTTAGAGCCCTAGCGTTTTGTTGCTAATAGGGTTGGCCAGCCAGATTATGTCCGAGTATAATTGCGGCATACATTTTATTGAACAAGTCAGTAGCGTCAGAGTTTGCATGGTTCCCAAGTTCTTTGACCAATGTCTTCGATTATGATCCGCATCATGCTTTTTTTTTAGAATTTTGATTTTAATGTTAACATTATGTTATCTTATCTTATAATATATATGTGTGTGTAGAATCACCAGACGTATTATATAAAATGAAGACTTAGTGGAATGGAAGAATCTACCTACAGTAACTCTCTCCTTATAAAATAGAAGGTTTTATTTGCCAAGACAAGAAACACACAGAGAAGATGGAAGAGAGTCGAGACATGGCGGAAGAGACAGAACACACCAGATTCTCCAGAGATGTCCACAGGATCATCGTCTTCGTCAATGGCGGCATTCTCGGGTTTCTCCAGCTCACGAGCCAGGCAACCACCTCCTCTCTTCTCGATTCCAGCCTCTGTTTCTGGTCCCTCGCTCTGATCTCCATCCTTCTCCGCCTCTCCGAATTCAAACTCCGAACTCCGGTTTTCCGCCGCTTCGTCGGAGACATGAGCCATTTGTTCGGATCTCTCGCTGCTCTCGTTCTCATCTCTGTCGTTTGTTCCACCTTTGCTCTGGTCCTTCTTCCTGTCTGGTTCCTTCGGCTCTTCGTCGTCGTCTTTCTAGTTTTCAAAGAGATCTTCGTCATCGTTCCGGAGGCAAACCAGTCCCATGCCGGTCCAACCGACCCGTAAAATCGGTATGGATGAACCAAACCGGTTATCGCAAAGGGTTTAACGTTTTTTTCTTACGTCGAAGGATTTTTCATTTCAGATGTGTGTAACACGTTATTATTATAAACTTATCCTTTCATATATATTATCATGAATAAATAGTATAGCAATTTTTTTTTTTTTTAAAGAATTGTTTCGTAAACTATTTTTGCATCGGAAGGATATGGGTTCAAAATGGAATCGTTTTCCCTTTTCGTGGGTTTGGGGAGGGCGACGTTGGGCCTCTGTTCCCATATTGTGGGCCTCACTAATGGGCTTGAAACGTGGCAGAATATCCCACATCGTAAACGAAATGATATGAATTATATTATATTTAGCTGAAGAATACAAGAGAGTTTGTCCCTTCGGGGACATCCGATAAAATTGGAACGATACAGAGAAGATTAGCATGGCCCCTGCGCAAGGATGACACGCATAAATCGAGAAATGGTCCAAATTTTTTTTTCTCCCAAAAATTTCCCGGACAGATTTCCATCCGGCGATGGATCTTCATCGTCGTCGTCTTCTTGTTTACTGTTTTCTTGTTTCTATCTTCAATTCCTGGAGTCTCGTTTTCCACCAGATACTCTCGAGGATTCCTGGCGTTTCTCGGCTGCCAACCACTCCCTGAATTTTCCCAGGATTCCTAGTTTCTCCTTAGATTCTCTTTTCGTTTTTTTTCCCGGAGAAAGATTACCGCGTTGATGTTCATATATTTTTTTTGTCTTAATTGTTCTTAAATATCCGGCCGTTCTCGAGTTTTCATCATCAATCGAACGAATTCTAAAAGCTCTGTGCTCTTCCTTTACCTTCTTCGCGAATATCAGTGTAGTATTTTTTTTTTTTGTAAAGAAATAAACCCGAAATTACAAATTATGCTCAGATATAACATAGTGTTTCTATGGGGCTAAAGTAGTAATTTGTGTTGATTCATAATGTATATATACAGAAAACAGAGATAAGCTGAATAACAGTTTTTATTTTCTCCAACTATTCTCTCTTCTCTCTACAGTGACTTTCTCTTGACGATTCATGTTTCTTCTCCGATATTGTTTGATATGGTATCAGAGTCTGCATTCGAGATTCTGCCGATTGTAATATTTTGGGTTTACCTTCGATACCTACCTAATCGTTATATATTTTTTTTCATTGTATTCATTTGGAAAAAATGTTAGTTAAATACTCATCTGTTTCTTTTTTTTTTTCTGTGTTTTTTGTTTCGATGGTGTTATTCTTTTTTCTCGAGAAAATTAAAATCCCGAGCCGAGCCGAGCCGAGTGTATAATTACATATCGATTACGTAATGGGGTGGGCCGGATCTGTTGGTCACCGGCCCCAATTGTTTAAAACCTGGGGGTAGTTTCGTAAATACAGGTTGTTCGAAATCCCGCTTTCGCTGGAGAGAGGGAGAGGAGCCCATCCTAGTTAGCTAGTAGCTACGCAGTCGGTGGTGGTCGTGTGCGTGTTTCTCTTTCGCCACCTTCTTTTCGTGCGATCTTCGCGGGAGAATTTTGTGTTGCGGAATCTAATATCTGAGACGAGGATGAACCGCCACCACGATTCCAATCCCTTCGAAGAAGAAGAGGAAGAAGCTGTCAATCCATTTTCGGTGATTGCTCTGTTTTTTTCCTCCTCCAATCTTTTTTCATAAATCTCCGCTTTTTTATTTTTGGATGTGCTTACTCGATTTTGTGGCGTGACGTTCTATGTATGTTGGATTGGTGTTTGATTTTGCGATTTTTGCGTGTCGAACTGTAGTGGAATCGAGATCATTGTCATTCGTTCGAGTTTCCGACAAGTCATAATTAGTTTGTGGCGCTCGAGAATATAGTGGGATTCAGTGTGGTGTAACCGTCGGCGTGGTGCGCGGACGTGATTGCTGGCTCACATGGTTTTGTAAAACTCTTAACTGAACGGGGAAGGCTAAGTGTTTGGATGCGTATAACGGTGTTGAGTTGATGGATCTCTGAATGATATTCTGATAAATAATTAAGGTGGTGAACTTTGTCCTTGGATCTGGGAACTACTTCCCGGTACTTAACAAACTAGTTATGTGGATCATGTAATCGGGTCTATTGGGTTTTGCTTTAGTGCATAGTTTGGTCTTTCAACCACGAGTTGATTGGAATTCAGTTACTGATTCATGGAAAACGGATAAGAGAAGACCAAGGACAAAACTTTGAGTGTTGTACCCTTATCAACCTTACAGTGAAGTATTCGGTATGTGTTAATCATTTTGTTTGACAGTCTATTGACTTCTATATATAATGGAAAATTTTCAGAAGGGTGGTGGCGCCGCTGGAAGGGTTCCTGCTGCATCTAGACCAGTTGGATTTGGCAAAACCAATGATGACATACCATTGGATACAATGAATGTAATCACATTAGTTTCCCCATATTCATGCATAATATTACTTTCACCTGTATTTATCTTGAAACTGCATGTTTAATCGGTGCAGGACTCTTCAAAGAAACAAAGAGAGGTTGCTGATTGGGAAGCAGATCTTAGGAGGAGAGAAATGGTAATTACCAGACATGCCTGTTTTTTTCAGTTTCTCTGTCTGTTTCTTGGTATTTTTGTTTTGTTTACGACTGTTTGCCTTTGGTTCACCCAGGATATTAAACAAAGAGAAGAAGCAATTACGAAATGTAAGCAAATGGAACCTTGATCACCAATGTTGTTCATCAGTTTGTGCCTCTTCACGTTAAACCATACGCCACCAAATGTCATGGACTAATGGTCGGTCGCTGACTAACCTTACACTTCGAATTGTTTCATAGCCGGTGTCCAGACAGATGATAAAAATTGGCCACAATTTTTCCCAATCATACACCATGACATTGCTAATGAGATACCGATTCATGCACAAAAGCTGCAGTATCTGGCCTTTGCTAGTTGGTTAGGTAAGCATGATCATAATCATATATTCCTGGATTATATAGTCTTTTTTTTTGTAAGCACAATTGGTCTTTTAGTCTTGACACTATCAACTTTTCTCTTCTGCTGCCTACTTTTTGTAGCTTCTTCTAACCTTTTGGTCATTGTTTGTTTAGCTGTTTCTTGCTTGATGGAGAGTTCTTAAAGTTTCTAAATAGCATGCTGTATCGCCCTATTTGATAACTATTGCCTATTATATGATCTAGTGGATATGCATGTTCTTGTGAAATCGTTGTAGTTTTGGCACAATGACCACGTGTTCTCATTTGATGCTATGTCAAGATTGATAAGAGTGAAGTTACCATCACTTTTTTAAATTTTTCTATCCTGTTAGTTATATGAGCTGTATGGACTCCACAATGGAGAGAACAAAATGGCTGATACTGTTTGAGTTTAAATTTCAGGTATAGTTTTGTGTCTCATGTTCAACATCATAGCTGTAATTGTCTGCTGGATTGAAGGCGGAGGTGAGCTTATAGTGTAGTGCTTTTCCTATATGACACCACTTTCTGAAGTTCTAAATGGATTTGGTTGAATGCTGCTTCAATCTTAGGCGTTAAGATCTTCTTCCTTGCAACAATCTATGCAATGCTCGGATGTCCACTTTCGTATGTGCTGTGGTACAGGCCTCTCTACAGAGCAATGAGGTAATGCTTCTTTATCTACGTTCTCTGGATGGTTTAGAAACAAACGTCATATGATTCACCTTCCATTCACTTTGTATCTACTGTGGACCTGTCATTCTATTGGTAGAATGTTTATGCTGTAAAATCGATTTATACTTTTCTAGAGGGATCATATAATGGGATGATTTTCTCACCTTGCAGGACTGACAGTGCTTTGAAGTTTGGTTGGTTTTTCTTGGTCTACTTGGTGAGTTTATCAAAAACTCTTATGTTTTAGATTTTTATCCCTCGTATATACAAGAATGTTTTTCTTTTTCTGTATTAATGAACAATGCTTCTGCAGATTCACATCGGCTTCTGCATATTTGCTGCCATTGCTCCTCCGATTGTCTTCAATGGCAAGTCATTAGCGTAAGTCTTTGTACACGCCTGTGTCATCCATCCATGCTCGACATCTCTTATGCTTCATGGGTGATTATTACTGCCTAGTGACTAGTGAGGGTTACTCGGAAAAAATAATTTATGAATTTCACTTCGCTCACTCTTGTTTTAGTTGTTGGCAACCTGAACACAAATACTATAAGAATTTAAGCTCGTCTATCATGTGAGCGCTGTTGCAGTTAGGATAGAGAAATCTTACTAACAGACGAACCAACGTTTTCAATCTTTCCAGTTGCCATTATTTAAGGTTTTTGTGTCGCTGTATTGATTACTGCCTGCCTGTCTGGTTGTGATAAACCGCTTCTCTTGTACTATTACTCAACAACAGGGGTGTGCTCGCGGCAATTAATGTCATCTCAGGCAGTTTATTAACAGGGGTACGTACCACCATCTATGCCTATCCAATTTAATGTAATCGAAGCCTGTAGCTTTTACAAAAGCATGTTCATTTTGATCGTACTGCAGATCTTCTACTTCATCGGGTTTGGTCTCTTCTGCTTGGAGTCGCTTCTCAGTCTCTGGGTTCTCCAGGTTAGCCTCCCCAAGCTTACTTCCTCAGCCTTATTTGATACTTTATGTTAGTGTAGCATAACGTATAAACTCAAAAACTCATGTAAAGCAATTTCAATTCCCCTCTAGGCTCTGGCTCTACCAAAGCCGGATATAAGCCTATATGTACACCGATACGAGTATATATGGTTTGATACTTTAGCGCAGTAGTGTGTGGAGAAGGTTTTTAGATTCATTTTGCCTGAGCCTAAATAACATCCATTCTCCACTCACTCAAGTGACTGACTCGTGGTTTTGGCCGCTTTGACCTATGCAGAAAATATACCTCTACTTCAGGGGAAACAAGTGAAAGCAGATAGAAACACATTTAAGGTAAAAGGGTGGCTGGTTTCTCCCTTTTACATTTTTTTTGTTTGCATGCCTATATATATATGTATGTATATATATATATATACACATTTAGTTTCACATTTTAGAGAGGCGTGGCTTTTCTTTTGTCAAAATTATGAGTTGGTTTGGTGTGATACATAATAAAATCAACCATCTAAATTAGGACATGGCATCATTCCCTGTCACACACGCCACGCCACGCGTATATAAAAGTATGAATCTCCATACCCTGTTGTGATATATACACATAATCCCCGTCAATGTGATTCATCAACCTTCTCCGTATCCTTCCCAACTCTCTCCCCCCACAGGCCACACCCCACCAATAAATATTTGAGGAGAATAAAAGATCAATGGTTGTAACGTGTGAGGATGAAGCTGAGGTGGCGTAATGTTCAATTACGATTTTGCCCCCATGTCCTACTCCTGTGGCTCCCCTCCCTTGGTATTTGGCCTTGCCTATGAAACCAGGGGGTGGTTTGAGGAAACCAGCCTAACTAAAGTAAAGACCCTAATCCAAATTTACGTGTTTAGTTCACTTATTAAACTAATCCACACGGCTGGTTTTTTACTCCCTCTACAAATTAATCTATATGTAAGATTTATACTATGTATATTGCCAAAAAAAATATGTTTTGAATGATTTCCGTGCGGAAAGAAACATTGATTAGTGCTATTAGATTCAACGCGGTAACTTTCAAAAACCGTTGCAAAAAATAATGTGCTAAGAGCCAAACAGGACCCATCGGCCACCCATCTTTCAAGAGCAAAGACAAAACAAGACACTTGTTTTCGCCTTTGAAAACCCTCGATTCAATCTGTTGTTTTAAGGGCATTTCCTCTTCTTCCCCACAGCAAGAACCGACAAAACTAAAGTCACTTTATTTACGTCACCTTACAAAAGCCCATAAAGCAAAATTCAGAACCCATTTCGTCATTACATCTCAGCCGGAGCTCGGGGTTCTGAAGCTTCAATGGCGGTCTCCACAATCTACACGACTCAGTCCCTCAATTCACCCCACTTCTTATCTTCTTCTTCTTCTTCTCCTTCCTCTACACCCCTCAGCTCCAAGCACGTCCTCTTCTACCGGAGAAGATCGCCGAGCAACCGGAGACTCACCACCGTCGTAACATGCTCCGCCGGCGACCCACAGACAGTGGTGATCGGACTCGCCGCCGATTCCGGCTGCGGTAAGAGCACCTTCATGCGGCGACTCACCTCCGTCTTCGGAGGAGCCGCCGAGCCACCGAAAGGCGGGAACCCAGATTCCAACACTCTCATCTCCGACATGACCACCGTCATCTGTCTCGACGACTACCACTCCCTCGACCGCACCGGTCGGAAGGAGAAGGGAGTGACGGCGCTTGACCCTCGAGCCAACGACTTCGACCTCATGTACGAGCAAGTCAAGGCCTTGAAGAACGGCGTCGCCGTCGAGAAGCCGATCTACAACCACGTCACGGGACTTCTTGATCCACCGGAGGTCATTCGGTCCCCGAAGATCCTCTTCATCGAGGGTCTTCACCCAATGTAAGTACTGTGTCTTGGAACCTCTCTGGTTCCGATGTCAACCCTTTACTCGGGTTCTGATTTTTGTCGGAATCAGACACAGAATTCGGCGACTTTTTTTTATATGTATTTAACGATGAAAACCCAAAAACGGCTCTGTATTCTCTCTCTAACGACAGCCTCGGCTCGAACTTCAGCCAAGAATTCGATGACTTTTCACTTTGACACCATTCATGGCTTTCGTACTTAATTCAGAATCAGACAGTGAATGCCCGAGTTTGAATTTGAGTCGGAAGAATTCAATGGCTTTTGAATATGGAGAATCTTGGGTTTAGATCCGTTGACCGAATTAGAAACCCGTTTCGTTCAAAAAAAAGAAAAGAGGAAACTTACAGATAAAAAAAAACATGCTTTAAATTGCTGAATTTGGATTAATCATTAGCCATAAAACATTTTGGTAATGTCTTTATTATACATACATATATATGTATGAATGATTATGAAGGTTTGATGAAAGAGTGAGGGACCTCTTGGACTTGAGCATCTACTTGGACATCAGCAACGAGGTTAAATTCGCATGGAAAATACAGGTACAGTCTTCCCAGCTAAACATTGATTGTTTCTTCATTAACCTGACGGCGATGATCTTATTAGAGGGACATGGCTGAGAGAGGCCACAGTCCAGAGAGCATCAAAGCCAGTATCGAAGCTCGCAAGCCCGACTTCGACGCCTATATCGGTATAAAACTTTCGTTGTTTTCTCTCGATATGATGACACAACCATTGTCCGAATGATATATGTATAAAGAGATATGAAGAAGATTTGAGAAAATTACGTAATATTTAGATTTGATTTTATTTCTATATTTTAGATATTTATATTTATTAAATAATATATTTTATGATTTTGTTTCTACTATAAATATTGTAATGTTACATGTTGAATAATGAGAAATCCAATGATTCTTCATCTCTTTCTCTATTATGGTATCAGAGTTTCGGTTTTTGTTCTAAATATTTTTTTTTATATCAACGATGTTCGTTGAATCCGAAAACGATGATGAAGATGACGATGATATACTAACTTCAATAGTATCATCACCTTGAGTATCGTCTTCCATTCATTTTTTTTCTATTTTTTTCCGACGACGGTGTTTATCACTGTCACCCCTAGCCGATGTGCTACTCTTTTTTTTT